CATAACGAAGGAGCAAGAATGACGTTTGAACGGCGAACAGCAGGGTTGGCTTCGACGCAAAATGAGGGTCGAATGACAGGACCACGTAAGGAACGAGTCCATTCCATTTCCGGCACAGGTGACCTCATTAGATGTGAAAACCAAAAACCCTGTGGCAGAAACGGTTTATTCCAGGCCAGGAGCTTCTCGTGTTGGAGCCAAGAGCCAGCGAAAGGTCGACGAGAATGCCAGCTTACAACAAGGGAGAACAGGAGAGAGGCGGATCTGCTTTAGAAGAAGAATTATGTTTTCTACGATGCAGTAACCGATAGCTTACAGCAATAGCGTTAGAAAGCTGCTAATACAACGGATGTCATGAATCAGAGACGCTGTGCTCTTGCCAACGGCTAAATGCAATGATCGCACGAAACAGGCAACATACAATGTTCAGAATTACAAAAGGATGCGAGGTGGGCAGAGTACCGCTGGTGCTCAAACACCATGGAGCCTCTGCCTCTTTTGTGATGCTCTACGTAAGCGAGCGCGGGTGAAGTTCAGGCTGGCTAAGCAAATTTGTCCGCTTTCATCATAGTCTACATGTCAAAACCTCAACGGTAATAATTCTAACTCTTCTTATATACATTTCTAAGTGTTATGAACTTCATAGAGATGACGTTAGGTGTCATTTGGACTTGAAACTCCATTTTTAACGCAAAATAATCAATGATCATTAAATAAGCTTTATAACAAGTTTGCTCCAACTGTTCGCCTATACTATTAGCATTTAGGCGCCTTCCTGATTCCTTACATAATCTGCCTATTCCTCTGCGGGGTGCCGTTATTTTTCATGGAGGTATCGATTGGGCAGTTCACGAGTCGATCAGCTGCTACCATGTGGTCCATATGTCCGTTGTTTAAAGGTACTGTTCGATTTCACATTAACTGTATCTGTCATTAACGCATGCTTAGGGGTTGGGTGGGCGACGGTCGTCATAACGTTAATAGTGAGCACCTATTTCAACGTGTTGCTCGCCTACGGCATCAGTTTTCTCTTTCAATCGCTCACCACCGGCCCCCTGCCGTGGTCTCATTGCGGCAATCCGTGGAACACCGACAAATGTCTGGACTACAACAACAAGACAGTTTATGACCTATTTCTGCAGTACAAACAATGGACGAGCAACGGTTCCGCGGGAGTGATGAACCCGGATTACGAGACATTTGTCAACGTCACGTACAGCTCTCCGTCAGAAGAGTTTTTCTAGTAAGGTGATCCCGTTTTTTATTTTTATTAATCACTCTAATAACACAATATTTAATACTCAAGATTTCTGCGTCTCTCAATTTCATTGGACAGTTCATTAATGAAATTTTAGTAAATTTATGATGGAGTTCAACGGAAGCGAGGGACACGTTTTGCAGCTGTCTTTGTTTTCCCACTATGGTATGAAACACAAATGCTATGCTAGCTTTTGTGTCGCTATTCAATTTCGTATCTACATAATTTTTTGGAGGAAGTGACCAAATGGGTTAACAGTCGCTGTGCACTTTAAAACTGACAGTCATTGCTAATTTTTTTGAGGCAAGAACTCGATCCAGTGTGCTTCAGCGCACTATGTCGTAAGACGGGTTGCAACGTGTTGACCTGCAAGCAACAGGGACACAGTGGTGTTCTGGTGTGATCATACCAGAAACGGTGAGAGATGAAACAGTGTTCCTTGATATGAGCGCCTTGGGACTGCAACCTGCCTTGACTCACCTCATAAGGGATTAATAATCAGCGTAAGGTGTCATCAGCAGCATTAACTCTTCTTGGCTGTTCAAAACGCTGACGTCGTTCATACAGTGAAGTAATCCAATTTGCTGAACGTAATCTCTTTCTTGAGCAGAATCCGCGAAGTCCTCATTCATTCTAGCAATTCAGAGATGCAGATGAAAATTAGTCCCCGTATCTCTTCAAGTGTTGCATGGTAGCCCATTGCCTGAGAGGTCGATTGCGAACTCCGGAGGTGCAAGGTTCGATTCTAACGGAGGTAAACCACGAATCTTTACCATGAATTTCATTGAGCAAAACATTAGCCACTTTTGGCAAACATACCAGGGTTGATCAGTCGGTTGAGCGTTTGACTTAGAACTGAGAGGTTTTGAGTTCGAGCCTCGGTGGGATCCCTTGCCTTCCTTTCATCAAAGGTTCATAAATGAG